CAAATTTGTCTTTAGTGAGACTGTCTATGATATGTCAGTTTACTTTGTGATAGTCACAATTCACATAAATCTAGTTATAGACAGCAACAATGAAGATAGACTTGGTCACACTCAGTTGCCGTCGCTGCCACCATCACTCTTAACAATGTCGAGAATCAAACGCACACCATCTCATCATGACCACATGCACCACCATAACGGAACCATCGCTGTCTATACCACCACCAATGATAAATCACCCACAACTCAAAATAGCCACATCAAATTGGTCGCCACCCATCAACCACAATAGTCGCTACCATTTCACCACCATATCTGCCACATTCAAAACCAAAACATAGATCCCATCTCATATTTAAACAACTATTTGTCCCAAACTATCCATATTGAGCAGCGGAAACAAGTGCCACAATGCCACGCTCTTGCTGCACGGTGCTTACATCGCAGCTGTATGACATTGGTGTGCACAACAGTAGCCACAATCACAACTAGGGACAGATGGAGGGGGGCTGGACCGAGCTGTAGCCCGATCCAGCTAAAGAATTTTTTTTTTTGGGACAAGTCCAGTTAAAAAATCAGCCCAGTCCATCCAGGTNNNCCCAGTCCATCCAGGTTTTTTTTTTATTTGAACAAGCCCAACCAATTAAAACCTAACCCAAATTACCCAATTATAACCCATTAACCCATCCCTCAATCCCTCTCCCTTTACTCACGAATCACACCACGCTCCAGACCGACACCACCTCACGGTTGTTTCCAAATTCCCAATCCCAGGTAAGTTGAAGTGTTTTTTCTTGCTGCTTGGTATTCTGGTTTTGCTTTGCCTCTTTTGTATTGAATTGATACTATAATGATCAATACTCAATAGAAAATTAGAATTAGTGACTGGTGAGTTTGGACCTGTGGTGTACTGCCGTCTACCTACCTTATTGCCTACTGGTAATTTGTTTATAGTATATAGAAATAGAGTTATAGTGGCTGACTGGTTGCTCGCTGCTGCCTACTATGGACGGTGGACCTGTGGTGAGGACTGAGGAGTGACTCGAGTGAGGAGGCTCAAATCTATTTAGTAATTAGTATACTAATA